CAAGTTGTGTTATGGAAAATCTTTATGGTCATCAATCATATACATATTTTACTATAACTAATAAGTAGTTTTGATTCTTTAACTTCCGTGAAGCGATCTGAACACAAGTAAGATATCGCTTCAGGCTTCCACAACGCGCTTCGCGACTCACAAACATAACCCATTTAGCACCTAACCGCGGGTCCTGTGGAAATCTGTGCATGGTGACACCATCGCCCGACCCCTAGGAGCAATTGACGACAAAGCAACGATTCGGCATGTCGCCGTTGATGTCGTGAAATCATCAAAATGATGAGTGCTACACACTTTCTATACAACTAACTGAAAATCGTTCCTCATATGACGTCACTGCAGTGCTCTGGCGACAGAGTTACGTAACCTGTCTGTGGTTTCGTAGGCGGGCGAGAGGGAAGCAGGCGACTTTTTGGCCACTTTTAATCGCCCGGTATTAATTAACCACAAGTTTTTAAAGAATAAATTTGGTGTTCCGCATAAGACTAACCACAAATCTTTCATATGTAATGGTTAAAAGAGTAACAAAAAACAAAGTTTAGTGGTTCTTTAAAGCATACAAATGCTCGTTTGCAGCTGCTAAAGCTTTACTGACATTGTTTATAAATGGCAGTTTTGAAGAGCTGGCAAAGAATTTCTAATTTTGAACGACACCATTGTTTTTCAGCTGCACAGCATATATGTTTCTGCTTGTAGATGTCATCATCATACCAGTCACAGTGAGGACGAATGACAACAGAACTAGACTTCAGAGGAGCATGCTTATCCAAAATTTGTGATAAGCAAGTAGTTAACACATCAGTCTTATCATCAACTCCACAAGAATCGGAGTGACTGTAGCAGCTCAGAAGATTCAATGTCATTACAAAACTGTCTAATGTCTATATTCAAGTCTTCACTTGCTTAGGTTTATTGAGTTTGACAGAGCACTGAATGATCAGATATCTGTTTGTCACTGACATCGATGACATCCAGAATATAACAACTATCCTTGGTTATCACTAGTTCTAGTGTGACCTGGTCGATGACCTAGGAGACTGAAAGATGCAAGCATGTCACAGGAAGATATAACACAAAATCAACATGGATATTGAAATCCCCCATTAAAATCAGATAACCTTTTTCAAAGGCAGTTTTGACAAGGCTGGACTAACATTCAGGAACACTTGTTACATGAACACTTGTTACATGAACACTTGCCTTGAAATTTTGTGAAGAAGAACCCCATCCCAGTTGCTTTAGTGAAGGTAGCAATCAATATCAATCATAACAAAGGTTATGCGACAGCACTTTGGTGTATTGCTGGATAGTGCAAAACAAAATATGCATACACATCCATTTTCTGTCAACTACACTCCATTTCAAGGCGTGGGTAGATGCAATATGATAGTAATGCGGACCGAAGTTCTAAATATCGGAGTGAGTGAGTGAGTGAGTCAGTGTTTTACGCTGCTAATAGCAATATCACAGCTAGGGACACCAGAAAACGGTTTCACACGTGGGGAATCGAACCTGGGTCTTCAGCATGACGAGCGAAGGCTTTAACCACTAGGCTACCCCACCACTCTAAATAAATATCGTAGGTACAGACGATTTCACTGCAGTTAACATAAACATTCTCTTTTGACATTTTGAGTAAAATCATTAAGTAGATTGCAAATATACTGACTGACTGACTGAGTTTAGTTTTACGCCGCTTTTAGCAATATTCCAGCAATATCACGGCGGGGGACACCAGAATTGGGCTTAACACATTGTGCCCATGTGCAGTGATAGAAACTACCGGTCGCCAGCTCGCCAAATGCGACTGAATGTGCATTGGGGCGACCAAGTTTTTTAAAAATGCACAATTTTGTCGCCAGTCAAAAAAGTTCTGGGCGACTAGATTTATCTATACGTGTCAAATAAAATGTATGTAATTCATATGCTTTTTCAGATGTTTTAATCACTTATCAATTGCTTGAATAAATCGCAATACCTTAAAACATCGGGAAAAGTGCGTGCTGTTGACTATAGCGCCATATTTACATCCCGGTTGGCACCGATGTAATACTGTATTTGATTGGCTCATATAGTAACAGTAGCCAATCAGGAAACGTCTTGTTTATACGGCTCACTTTTCCAACATGGCGGAAGCTTGGTTATTTCTCAAACGTCAGCCGGCAAAGCCCCCGGCGAGCAAATATGCCAAGTAAGTTATAATCTAGACATTTTAACGTGAAATCACATACATGCAATAATTTGAATATGACTTTTATTCATCAAAACACTGATAGAATTCATATGTTCAGTCACGATCAGGGATAAATCGGCAGCTAAGCAATTTCAGGCTAAGTCAAACTAGTTGCCATGGAAACGTCAAAAATATTTTATTCAGAATTCCAAAACTACCAAAAGGCACCAGTACACCACCAGATCTATCTATGTGCCAAGTTTGGTGAAGAAATATTAAACGGTTTTAGAGTTCTGCTCCGGAAAAGACAAATGTGCACGGACGGACAGAGTCCATTTTAATACCCCCTGCAAAACTTGTTGCGTGGGGATAAAAATCTGCAAATAGCAAAAGGCACCACTTTGGGATCTGCCTCACATATCTGCCAAGTTTTGCAGAAAGATATTAAGAAGTTTTTGAGTTATGCTCCGGAAACAAAGCCCGTCCCTCCCTTTAAGACTAAGTCCAAAACAAGTCCATGGAAACTGAGATAAAAAAAAATCACAAAAATCTGTAAATAGCAAAAGGCACCACCTTACGTTCTGTTTGATATATCTACCAATTTTTGTTGAGAAATATTGAATGGTTTTTGAGTTATGCTCCGGAAACAACATGATTATGGACGGATGGACGAGGCCGGGGGGATAAAAAAGCAAACAAGCATTGCCACTAAGGTGACATAATCCCCGTCGCAAATTATCAAATCAAACTTATAAAGTAATGAAAGTTTAAGTTAAATGTCAACAAAAACATGACCAGTCAACCTCTCTTGATATCTTGCTCTTAAGGTGTTCAAACACACACATATTTTCAAGACTGACTTTGACCTTGACATGAATGTCATAGTGTATGAAATATGCAAAAAATAGTACTAAAGAAATTGCTTATTGAAAAACATTTAAGGGAAGTCTTGAAAATCCAGTGAACCGTTCTTGAAATATCTTGCTGACAATTCAGGTTAACATGCTGAAATCTTCAAAGTGTCGCTGTGACCTTGAAAATTAAGTGAAGGTCACCAACATCGACTGGGCCCTGCGCCTTCACTGGATGAAACTTGGTGTCAAATATGAAGAAACTCCAGTGAATTATTCTTTAGGTATCTTGCTGACAAGCATAACCTGCAGGTTAAGATGCTGAAATTTTCAAAGTGTCTCTGTGACCTTGAAAATTAAGTGAAGGTCACCAAAATTGACTGGGCCCTGCACCTTCCCTAGATAAAGCTTGGTTTCAAATATGAAGAAAATCCAGTTAACAGTTCTTGAGATAGCTTAACATGCATTTACATGCTGAAATTTTCAAAGTGACGCCATGACCTTGAAAATTATGTGAAGGTCACCAAAATCAACTGGGCCCTGCGCCTTCCCTAGATAAAGCTTTGTATTGAATATGAAGAAAATCCAGTGAACGGTTCTTGAGATAGCTTAACATGCAGGTAAAACATGAAAGTCCCCTTGTGATCTTGAAATGAAGGTCAAGGTCACCAAACCAGACTTGGACCTTTCTTATACTGTGATGAACCTAGGTACCAAATATGAAAAGAATCTGAAGAACAGTTCTTAAGATATTCCAATTAGTTCGTACGTACGGACGGAGCCTAATACTATATCCCCCGCTTCGCGCTAAAAGCGCGGCGGGGGATAACAAAATATACAACAAAATAAAACCAAAATTGCCTTTTAGTCCATGGCTGACAGCTTGAGATTGGCAAAGGATTGACCTTAATGTCAGCACACTACATCACTGGATCAGTTCTGTGCATGACAGTTATACAGTGACAACAAAATGATACCAAGAGAATTCATTTGAAGTATCCATGTACCGTATATTACCGTAGATAAGCCAAATTTTGAGGGGGAAAAAAAGCAGTCTGTAGAAGGGGGTCGGCTTATCTAAGAGATATAATTTCAAGAAAGTATTTTTCAGTTCGTCAGTGCCCTGTCAGGATGATCTTACATGTTAGCGGTACACCTGCCTGGAACAGCACTGGAAGTTTACGACGATTACAGCCACTTTGTTATAAATGATCAATAAAATACATATTAAAGTATTGAGTTTAATTTTATATTAATTAAATATTAAATATTAAGTTTTGTACCTACCTATTTACACACAAAAAATCCACAAAAAAGAGAAGTCATAATCCTGTCCGGTCACCATTTGACATGTGCCGATGCGATCAGCTGTTTCCTGTGACGTCACATACGGTGTATCATAAAGAGTCAAATCATGACATGGGGGCATGGTGGGCGAGCTGTCTAAGGCGCCGTGCTAGTAAGCGAAAGGTGCCTGGATTGATCCAACTTGTGAATGGGTGTAAAACCCTTGGAGCTAACATTACTTGCAGGCTCTTTCAGTGTTGTCACAATCCCTAGTGTGCAGTGCACAACCCTGTGCACTTAAAAGAACCCACTCATCCGATGGTAGGTGACCAGATGGTGGACACGTGAAAATTTGCAGACAGCTAGTTTACTTGCGGGTATAGTAACGTGCACTATCACAGGACAAAATACTGTGACTATGTGTCCCAGTCCATTCAGCTGCAAATGGGTACCTTGTGAGGACGAGTCTGTGTGATAACTTGTTGCGCCTAACAGGCTGCATAAGTTGAATACTCCCCAGGGAGTTGAGTTGGTTAACACAATGCCAGAATAAAAAGGACATCCGTTGATCAAGGGAACACTCCAGCGCCTTGAGTATGTACAAGTTACGTGGATATGTGCGCTATATAAATATCCTATAATAATTATTTTTTTTAAATCATCTTATGTCTACTCACATCTGCTTCACTGTCCTTCAGCTTTTGTTTTTTTTCTCTTTCACTTTCATCTCGAAAACTTGTTCCATCTCTGCCTCCATTTTCTTCATCTTGAGGTCATGCTCACGTTTCTCTTCAGCCATCTGGGTCAGTGGGTCTCTGTAACAAATAATCACAAGTTGCAGACCATAAACAATAATCTAGTCAATGAGAGAAGCAACGGTTACCAACTGGATACTATTATAAATGATCCCGTAGATACTGAACACAATGGTCATCAGCAGGCTACATGAGACAATCATCCAGTTGATGCTGAACACAATAATTATCTGATACATACTATAAAAATGATCCAGTTCATTCTGAAATTAATTATTTCCAGCTGCAGAAAATGTCTGCTGACTATTGAATAAACAAAAAGAATATCTTACTTTGTGAGTGAGCCTGGCTTAACCTTCCCATCTCCTCCAACCGGAGCTAACTTGCTGTAGCGGTAGTTCTCATAGTGGACATTGTTGGTAACATCCTTTAAGTCCTGCATGTGAGTCCTTAAACAGTCCAAATACTCAATCTTTACATCACTGAATATATCCAGGTAGATCATCTGTAGTGGCTGTGCACCCTGAGCATTATTTTTCAACAAGAAAATAATTTGCATTACAATCACCATGTTTTCCTGATCTCCCTTCAGAAATAGAATGATGAACCAATTCAGTTTCACCATATTTGGGTACATTTGACATCACACTTGTCCAACTTGAAGTACCATTACAACTTAAAACAGAAAGGCACATGCTTCCAGCTCCCTCAATAAGAAAGTTATAAATATTATACAGTCATCCCTCACCATAACACGGACCTTGGGGTACATGGGTGACCCGACCCCCCCCCCCCGTGTTATTAAACACCTGTGTTATAGTATCATAACAGAACTGCTATTTCGCCTATTGTGCCCAGTCAAAACTATATGGTATTGTTGGAGGTGAAAAAACAAACTTTGAAAATGAAAATAGATATATACATGTACAGGACACTTGCAATCAAACATCACCAAACATGATAATTCAGTTGTTGTTCCTGTTATGCTACCTGTTATTTAAACATGCCGGAAATAGCAATCAGCTGTGCACAGATGTTTTGGTCCAATGTTTTGGCCGATTCAGTTAAACCAATATATCAAAGAATTTCTACGATATCAGAATAGTTATAAAGCAGTTATATTAACAGAGATAATATAACATCGTATAAGTATAAATTTCTATTAGCATAATAATTAATATCTAAGCAATGGGTAACATGGCTGTATACATATACGTAGGAGACATTTTGACAAGCAGTTGACTTCCCGTGGTATGTGCCACTTTGGTTGTAAAAACAAGATGTTGGTATTTAATTGTCCAATATGACTTCAATGAGTCAATAACGCGGGTCTAGGGGTCAATGGTTGACGAGGCAGTAATCTGTTCGTGATTGCTGAGAATAATGTGAAATACGATACGCGAATAAAATGAGGTGATGCCATTACACACATTTTCTCCGTTGTCACTGTAAACAGTTTTAATGAATGAAAATGGGATTGAATTTGATTAAATAAAATGAAATTATGTGTTTCTGACATCATAGGTTCTTGGATCTCAGTGTTTACCCGCGTTATAACGTGGTGTGTTGCATCAAAGAAAACATCGTAAGTACTCGGCTGATGGCATGTCTTTATGATAAAGATGTCTTTTATAAGTTATTACGATGTTCATCTGATTATTCAAGAAAATCCTGAATGTTTTTAAGCATCTGAAAAACATGGATATGAACGATGAACACTGTTCATTGCAATCGCTAGTTTACAACGTGATTAACCTGAGCTCAACAGCGGATTTGTTGATATGCTATTTTCGATGACGTGAGGTGTGATCGGCGGTACCGAATCCACAGTATTTCAAAGAGCATTATTGCAAGGTTGACTGTTTGTACGGTACATATTTATATCTATATATTAATACCATATAAAATGAATAGTGATATTTTCAATTCAACATGTATTTTTTTTTGGTGGGGGGATAAAATTATCATTTATACTTATCCTGACTTATACTAATCACTTAACACTTCTCATTTCAAAATGGTAGTGGAAACTCCAGTGAAAGAACAGAAAAAACATCTTACCTGAAAGCACCCCAAGCATCGCAATGACACCGGAAGCATGTGACAACACAGATGCCTCGTCACTCTCTCATTTCTGAAACTGGCTAGCGGAGATAGCTGGGTGGGCGCTATAGCGTATGAGTCAGGATAAGTATAAATGTTACTTATTTGATACATTTTATCCTTATTCATGACTCATACTAATTGATTGAATCCCACATTAAAGTGGTGGGATCCACCGTTTGCCTGATTCAGATCGACGATCTGTTCTACATGACCCCATGAGAATGTTTTCTTTATATATTTGGTCATCTGCTTCTTCTTCCAGAGGGGCACCACCTCCAAACTCGTGAGAGGAGTGAACCACACTGATTCTGTCGATTTTGGTTAGCATGCTTAGAATTAGATTCAATCTTGCTTACCAATGATTAACGTGTTAAGAGAATGATCCCTAAATCTTACTCATTAGTTCATCACTCATGTTCTGATTTCTCATGAAGACAGGTCTACATGCACTCTGAGTCGGTGGTTATGATCATTAAATGGTAACTTGACTTCTATGATTTTGCATGATTAGCATTAGATTTTTATCTCTCATGTCCGATTAGGTAATGCCAATTCTTGTGTGACCACTAGGGGTCTGAAATTGTATACCCTCCACATTCTCAGGAGCGAAGTCTCGGAGATAATGATTGGCAAACACAGTATCTGATTTCCAAGAACATCCGTCCACCGATGGTAGGGATGGAGAAATTGTCATGTAGCTTAGTGCGGATTTTAGCGCTCTCACTGGGTTGGAAGCTGAGCCAGGTTCTATGTTCTAATGGCTGATAGCGCAAATGCCTGCCTCAAAATTCTAGGTGATTGGTACGCAGTTGCTTTTCTTCTGGAGACTACAGACCTAAGGCATAAGTACAGGTGATGTTTGAAGTTTGGCTCATTCAAAAAGGTGCCTGCACGCGCAGACGTTCAATTTTGATATCCACCATTGAAGATACTGCAGTAGATGAGGTGGTAGTTGTGGTCTGAAGTCTTGCTGATCCAGAAATGGGGTTAAAAAACCTCTGGATGGGTTAAAATTGCAGTCTGCCCCTCCTTGTAAGTGATTGGGCTCACGTTAGTAAGCCTAACAGTGCTTGTCATTTGATTGACAGTTATCTGTTTGTACAGAGCAGCTGGCAGAGTTTCTTGTACCTTCAACCAAGAATCTTCTGGGACTTGAATCAAGTTCTGGGAGGTTAAAAACCGTTTCCAAATAAACTTGAGTTTGTTGGTTACAGATGGAACACAATGGATGGACCTCGGAGTAAAAGCCACAGGCATGGCGGAGACGGTAGTAGTAAAAGCAGCAAGCCATGCCATCATGTCTCTTAAGATATGCTGTTTGTGCCAAAGAAGGGCATCCACTGACAAGGTGTTGGACAGTCTCTGTAAATTCATTGCACAATCGACATTTCATGCAAATATTTTCTTTTAGAATCACATTTAGGTGATTGCAAATCGGAAGTGACTGGTCCTGAGCAGCAAAAAGGAAGCCCTCAGTTTCACATTTAAGACCAGCCGACTTCATCCAGGCGAAGCAGTCAGGTGGATTGCTGCTCTGTTATACACACTGCATGTACACACGATGCAATGGTTTCTCAGAAAGCTTCTCCCCAAATGACCGACTCTGGGCAGACTTGGTGAATAACTTCACCTGGTTTACTCCCATCGCTGTACCGTCCAGCAGTACATCGCCATCAACAAAATCAACCTCAAATTTCATATTATGTCCAACAACCTTGGCACGCTTAAAATAGCTGTGGAATTCTTTGCTTTCATGATGAGTCTTGACATGTATCACCAGAGGATCATCCGATAAATAAATATGTGCAAAAGTACACAATAAAATCCTATCATGAAGAGCCTCCACATTAATCAATCCCCGACCTCCAGAATTGATTGGTATATATAAACGATTTAGAGAGGAACGAGGGTGGTGAGCTCTGTTATCAGACATCAGGGTTCCAGATAAGGGCCGTATCGGCGTATGTACGGATAAAAAATATGCACGATACGGTAGGAAATAATTTAGAAAATGTAGCTAATACGCACCACAGCAATGGTGTACGGTCTTAGTATCATTTACAGGTGTATTTATCTGAAAAAAGTATTGTTTTATTGTTTATTGGCCTGTTTACACAAGAGTAGCAATATTGTGGTGCATATATGAAACGAAACACAAGATTACTGATAGTCCATTAATTTCCATTCAGTTCCATTACGCCTATATTGAACAAAATAAGGAGTACATACTCCTGATGTTGAAAAATTATCTGGAGCCCTGAGACATGATCCTTCTGGTCAGGCTGTCAAGACTCTGGATGTCTTGTTTAGTCCGATCAACTACTCCAAAGGAATAGGAAAGGACTGGCACAGCAAAAGTATTGGTGGCTTTGACCTTGTTTCGAGCATTTAGCTCTGAGCACCAGATTTTTTTAAAGCGAGATTTGTACTCGGCCCGAAGTTTCTCTTGAATCAGGGCATTCTGGAGCTTGTATTATTATTATTGGATATAACACATATCCACGCACTAGTGCATGCTCAAGGCGCTAGTATTTTCCCGTTGTTCATTGGATGTCAATCTCAGCGGCACATCTTATTATCAATCTCAACTCCCTGGGGATTATACAACTCTTGCTGCTACAAGGCACACCGAGGTATTCAGGCTTTCCCATCCTTATGAGGCACCCAATTCACAGCTGGGTGGACTGGGCCACATAGTCACAGTAATTTGTCCTGTGATAGTGCACGTTACTATACCCGCAAGTAAACTAGCTGTCTGCAAATTTTCACGTGTCCACCATCTGGTCACCTACCATCGGATGAGTGGGTTCTTTCAAGTGCACAGGGTTGTGCACTGCACACTAGGGATTGTGACAACACTGAAAGAGCCTGCAAGTAATGTTAGCTCCAAGGGTTTTACACCCATTCACAAGTTGGATCAATCCAGGCACCTTTCGCTTACTAGCACGGCGCCTTAGACAGCTCGCCCACCATGCCCCCATGTCATGATTTGACTCTTTATGTATTCATGTGGCCACATCTGGTCATAAACCAACGGATTGGTGGGTTCTTTTAAGTGCACAGGGTTGTGTACTGTACCCTAGGGGTTGTGACAACACTGAAAGAGTCTGCACACGAAGTTGACTCCAAAGATTTTACACCCGGTCACAGGTGGGCTCGATCCCGGCACCTCATGCTCGCTGGATCACTAGCCTGGCACCTTAGCCAGCTTTGCCCACCACGCCCCTTGAGAAATCAAGATTATCATCTTGTGACTCTTCACACACTGATGATGCTGGTGTTGACTACATTGCAGGTTTATGCATCCCCGTTGAATGATTTTGTTACTGAATGGCAAACAACACTTGTTTTGTGATATAACTCACAATATCTGGATGACTAGCTGATGACTAGCCTTCAGCCTGAGTGGAGGTCTGTGGCTGCGTGAAGCTCTGATGCTGCGAGAAGGGCTGAGCCTGCGTGAAGGGTCTCTTAAAAGACCCTCTTGAGTGTGAAGTTTGCGTTGAAGGTGTCTGCATTACTACCACTTCAGGTTCTAAAACCAGTGGACCCTTTGCGAACGATAAATCATCTGCATTGCATGATGTATTCTTCCGAGAATCTCAATATCCTCCATCAGCATGGGTGCAATCAATGCATCCAGATGTTACTGTAGAAGTTGGCTTCATGGAGGACTTCCTTGTAGATATATTCTTAACCTTAACTAGCTTTTGCAGACTGCTATACTTTTTCAAAGGAGATTTCCTCTCATCGCTATTACCTCCTGATCAACATGAGAATCACGCAGTGGAATCTCATTTGCTGACTGAAAAGAATCCTTATTAATATCATGTGAAAGTATATTGTCCACAGGGGATTGTAAAGGAACGAACTCACGTTCAGACATGTGCTTGGTTGTTTTGTCTCTAGGTGTTGAAGACTGTGATGACGCCCTGGAGTTTTCCCACCCTTTTTTGTCCATCTTTTTGCGTTGTAAGGCAAATACGTAATTTGCAAATTCGTTATCCCCAAGAGGACGCGCAGAAACTACATTTAGAACTTAAATTGCAGTTGGAAATGACGAAAGAAAAACAAGTGGGGGGGGGGTCCTGTCGGATATTCTGAATTTACAGATAGAGCACGTTTTCATGGCTCATTAAATACAACTTTTGAAAAATTATCCATGGTTATGATGTACAAAGGATACATGAAGAAATCCAAGCATTAATTCTGATGGATGACTCATTATAAAATAGGATTAGCTTGGATTGTTAAACAGAAGAAATTTTCTTCTCAACCGTCAGAGGGGGCAATAATGGACAGAGTGACCAGTTGCCGCATGGTCATAGGGGCGCTGATGCACATGAGCGGGAGGAGGTGTGTTCGGTGAGATGTTTTTACTGTTCTTGGGAACATAGAAACAGAGGTTTCCACTGTACCTCGGGCAGAAAAGGGAGAGAAGCAAATAATATAAGCCAGGATAAGGAAAAATTATAGAAATCTTATTTGACTTAATGAATATTCAATTTAAAATTACAAGTAATATGCCGCTTAGTTACCTTACCAACAATGTTATAAGCACTTCTTTGTAATAACATCTCTTCTGTTTGTAAACTCATGTGCCCAATACAGTACAACTTTGAAAGAGCTCCAGCTAACTAATAAAGATTTTTGTAAGTGCTTCCAGGTTTATAATATCACTTAGTGGTAGGAAAACACATGCCCATTGCAGAACATCTTTAGACCAGAAACTCATTCTGAATACCTGAATATTTAAGTAATAAGCAGTTTCATTACCATGACCCTCTATTTCAGGATAGAACTGCCAAGAGAACATCACTTGTTTCAAACAAAGGTGTGAGGCTGAGATATATGACGTGTTCATTTCAACAATACTTCTTGAATGCAACCTTTTACAGGTAATTGTGAATGGTCCACAAAATGAGACCTTGACATTAAACATTAAAGAGGTATTAAGTCATGAATGAATAAAAAAATTAATGAAATTTGAATCATGAGTGACTTACCTTATGAGCATATTTCTCAATGCTATGAAGTCATTGTGTTCCAGATTTTCAACTGAAAGATAGTAGATACTTCATTGGAAATAATTTGAAGCATACCAAAGCCCAAAACAATACAAAATTGTTTGTACTACAGATTTATGGGGCCAAAGAGAGAATAGAGGAGAGGACAAAAAAAACACATGGGGTAACTGCTCAGAAACAAAGTTATTCAACTCAAAAGATGCAAAATTGAACCTGATGTAGCATGTCCATGACAGTTGAAAACAAAATCTCCTACTCAGTCAGTAACTTTCATTTCTGCTACTTGAAAAGTGTTCTGTATGACACTTGGCTATGGCACATAAATTACAAATTCAAAAACCATAACCAAGTTTTACTAGTTGTTATATCCAGTTACCCAACATTGTACACACAACAGTAAACAGCAGGAAGTGGTAAGATTGGAAGAAAAATGTCAGTTGTCGAAATGAATTTTTTTAGGCTTCTGCTATATTCCGTTTGATTTAATTTTAGACGGATGAATTGCTCACTAACACAAAATCTAATAAATGCAACAAAACCAAATTTTGCAAAGTCCCATGAAATCGACAGACCAACTCTGATGATTATTTCATAATTTTGGACACCCGAATAAAAATGTTGTTTAACAAACGATCATTTTTTTGTTGTCACTTGTTGCTATCTCTTACGAGGGGGGACCACTTGCTTGTAGAACAGTTAGGTGTGCGAGTTGCATGTGTGAAATTGAAATTTCACTACCCACGCTTGTTGATTACCTGGCTGTCCTACCAGCAAGTGGTCCCCCTCGTAACAAATAGCGAAAAGTGACAACAAAATAATGATTGTTTGTTCACTCAATTAGGCTGAGAGATGCATTTAAGTATGGCTGAGAGATGCGACAAATTAAGTTGCTCCCCACAGTGAGTGACTCATATGTGTGTCAATAGAAAGCACCTCTTATTCAGAGAGAGACGCACATGTGCGTCTTACTTTTTAAAATCGCATTGTACCTATTATTTCAACCAATTTAGTAGTTCGGAGCAAAGGTTAGCTTTTCTTGCGTGAGATGCTACCTTCAGTGTTAATCAGAAGAAGTATTTAAAGTGTTTTGATAGCAATTGCTAATAATTATAATAGGCTTATACAGCGTTTGGTAAATGAACACATGTCAGTGAGAAAGGGGATTATGAGATGTTTTTACAGAGTTAAGTGTCTGGCACTCTTCATTGGGAGTGGATACTAAAATACTCTTTATGCACATTGACTGAATTAGATGTAATGGTTTAGAGGTTACTGAAGACAATATATTCTTCAACTACCTATTAAATATGAAACAATATACAAAATTTCAATTACATACAAAGAATTCAAACATAACAGAAAAGTTTGAATTTGCTTTTTAGGTATTATTACGTTGTCATGTTTCATATAATGAATCGTAATCACAAATAATTATACATCCAAGCTCGAATAGATTAGACATAAATTAAATTGCTAATTTAAAGCTTACTGCATTGTAACTATTTATTTTTCATAATCTAAAGTTGATAATGTTACCTAATCGAATATCAAGTGATAACTCTCCCCTTTGCATCGACACATAATAATATACATGTCAGTGGTACTACAGCACTGAAATCTTTTACTACGTTTGTTACAAAACACAGTTGGTAATTCAAAAAATTCTTAGACATAGACAGAAGTTATATCATAAGTTATTACATGTAAACAATACAAAGGTATTTCAAGCATTTGTGTTCAATGCAATTTGCATGACTATTGTGTAAAAACGTTTGTATTTGATCTTTGTAATTATCTGATCCGGTATAATTATCACGTGTATCAATGAACTCAGTCTCCATTGATCCATCATCAACAAGCAGTTGTCACTACGGTGACATAATCCCCCGCCGCAAATTATGAAATCAAACTTAAAGAGTAATGAAAGTGAAGGTCGTAGTTTAAGATGAAGTTAAATGTCAACAAAAACATGACCAGTCAACCTCTCTTGATATCTTGCTCTGTAGTTGTTCAAACACACAAATATTTTCAAGACTAACTTTGACCTTGACATGAATGTCATGGTGTATGAAATATGTAAAAAATAGTAATAGAGAAATTGCCTATCAAAAAACATTCAAGAGAAGTCTTGAAAGTCTACGAAGAAAATCTAGTGAACCGTTCTTGAGATATCTTACTGACAATCTTAACATGCTAAAATCTGCAAAGTGTCACTGTGACCTTGAAAATTATGTGAAGGTCACCCAACTCGACTGGGCCCTGCACCTTCCCTATATGAAGCCTGGTGTCAAATATGATGAAAATCCAGTGAATGGTTCTTGAGGTATCTTGCTGACAAGCTTAACATGCAGGTTAAGATGCTGAATTCTTCAAAGTGCTGCTGTGACCTTGAAAATTTCGTGTAGGTCACCAAAATGAAGATTGGTGTGAAACATGAAGAAAATCCAGTGAACGGTTCTTGAGATATCTTGCTGAAAAGGGTAAGACGTTAAAGTCCCCTTGTGACCTTGAAATGAAGGTCAAGGTCACCAAACCTGACTTGGGCCTTTCTTATAGTGTGATGAACCTAGGTACCAATTATGAAAAGAATCTAGACAACGGTTCTTAAGATATTCCAATTCGTACGTACGTACGGAGCCTAATACTATAAACGCGCGGTGGGGGATAATAAACAGATGCGCTGTTATATGATTGGACAACTTGCTTTATGGAGTCACGCCCCTCTCTGTAATGTTTATGCATACGTGCACATCTGTAATCTTATGAACCTCGTTTGCATCCAGTATAGATATAGGCACGCCTATCTTCAAACATATTTTGGGGGGATTCAACTGCAAGTTTATACAATATAATAATTCAGTATCGTGTCACTTTTATTCTATAACACATGTACTTTAATTTGGATATTCATTCATCTGAAGGTGCAGATTATATTTACATGTACACCAAACCATTATGTTTGATGTACTAGTTGTGTGTGCAAAATGTATATGAAAATATATACTATCTCTACTCAATGGTGGATTTCAATCGTTATTATTTTATTGTCGTTCGATCTCTGAGGGCAAATAAACTCTCCAAAGTGTCTATCTACTCCTATTTGTCTTATGCGTATATTTCATACATCATTACGGTTATGTATGTCTACAATACGCAAACTGTTACATGATAGCTAGAGTTGACAAAGCCAAAACCCAGCATATCGATTGGTCAATGATATAGCCAATGATCAATCTCTATCCAAGCTGTTGAGTGACCAAATGTGCTCTTCAGAAATTTAGCCCATGTCCTATCACCTGTCCCTTTCTCTGTGACAGGTATCTCACGATACGATTGGTCATAGACAACAAATGATCAGCCACTATATTGAACAGTTAAGATACCAAAAGTTCTATTCGGGAAACTTGATCACGTCCCATCACGTGACGCTTTGTTTCATGTCTATACAAGGAAGGAATATGTATTATACAATATGTATATATGTTCATATCATAATGTATGTTTTCTGCGTTAAATCTAGATGAAACAAAGTGACCAATTATGAATCTGGTCTATGGTAGTCACAGACTAGCACATTTGTATTTTCCTTAAAATATTCAGTATACACGAGCAATGTATCAGCACAAACGCTACTTTTGTAGAAGATTATGAAGCATGTAAGTGAATTCATCTTGACAGTCTGTCATAGGTGTTTTGTAAAATTAAACCTCACACAATGATATGAGAGAGACAATTTGTTTATGTATGTCTCATCTCTTACATGCAAAGAATACAAACATATGTAGATAAAATATAAATGTACAAGCCGCCAAGAATCCACAAGAGAAACTTGCAATAATATTACATAAAATGTTGCAATATATGATATGTATTCACACCAGTTTTCTTTCCATGTAGATCTTTGAGACACAATTAAACAATCAGGACTTGTTTGTATAACTTGACAGTTTCCTGTCATCCCCGAAACCTGTCAGGGAAATCAGATGTGAATAGCACTAATTAGCTTCGCAACAGCGAGCAGGGCAATCAGCAAGGGGTTCCAGGTGTTGAGCAGTGAAGTGGCTCTTGGGCTTAATGAGTTCAACAACATTATTATTTGTGTGTCCAAAATTATGATACAAATCATCAGAGTTTGTCTGTTGATTTCATAGGACTGTGCAAAATTTGATTTTGTTACAATTATTAGATTTTGTGTTAGCAAGCAAGTCATCAGTCTAAAATGATTTCAAACGGACTATAGTGGCAAGAGACAATCGTGGCATCAAGAATTCATTGGAATTTCAGTGTTGTACAGACCTCAATACCCAATCCTCTACTAACACTATTTAGCATTGTGTCTTTCTTATTGTCCCATTTACCAAAATCTCCATTCAAGTAAAGGTTAGGCAAGTCCATATAGACTGCCCCGATTTGACATCAATGAAATTTAGAAACACATACAGAACCGTAACCAAAATTCGTGGATCGCGGTAATTACCATGATATCTAGTACATACAGTTCCACGCCTCGCTGACAAAAATGTTCCAATTTGTTTACATTACACATAAATACACTAAATCTAATTGTCCAGCACTGAGATAAATAGCCCAAGATCACTAATGCCACAAATTTTTCCTTTTACAAAATGTCAAGTAAAAAAGATATCGATAGCACCAAATTTCTCACATCTCGTCGTCTGCTTTCCGAGGTATCAATACTTACTGCAGTGAGCTGTCTTACTTAGTGATATATCGCAACTGACTACATGTGTACATAATCCACGAAACAAGGTTACGAATGGAATATTAGGCATTTTCAATATGCTGAATCAATGAATAAAATAATCAGTGAGTATACAACATGAAATCATGCATTTAAAATATTATTTTCATCACACTTCCCTTATATCCACGAATCAAGTTTACATAAGTGTATATTTGTGTGTAATGTCAATACCTTCTTGCGTAGTATGTAATAATAAAATAACTGTAATTACTGTTCTTTACATGTAAAGAACTTTCAGTTTTCTTAATATATTGAAAAAATGTAAA